TTTATTATTGGCAACAGCTCAAACATTAAAGCTTATAACTGACATAGAAGATTTCTATAAAAATAGCAATAACCGCGAAAAATAAAGCATTCTCGTTGATTCAACTTAAAGGAGATACTGTAGCCAGGACATTCCCATATATGTACTTTCTTCTCTGCATAAATAAAAAGGAATAAAACTGTTGGCAGAAGGGTTAATAAAAACATCTTCAAAGTATCTTTTTGTGTGGCGCTTTCCCCAAGGGCATTCCTATGGGGCTGCGGTAAAGGAAAGGGACCTACACACATATGTTATAATAAAAAAGTACAATACAAATTGTTTACCGTAGCTCCAATAAATCCTTTAATTTCATCTCTTTTGGACTTCTGGGTTTGTCTGTTTTTACTTTTATTTTACTCGTTTTTTAATCTATTAAATCGCATAGGCACTGTCGAAAGAACACTACGCTATTCACAGGTGGGTGGGTGGAGTTGAAGTGAACTGCAATTGTTTTTACCTTTTTCGATAGCCAACTCGACATGCACGCTACCTGTCTCGTCAGCTATGCATCGCTTGAGTTTTTCATCTCGATGTGTTTGGTACAACACTAGCTTACAAGAAAATAAATCGAAACGAGTACAGATTCTCTCTAACAATAGGGACCCTTTAAAAAATGTTCCTTTAAGAATATATCGTGAGATATATTTTCCATCTCGAATTTTAATATTTTTTTTATTTGTTCATAAAATTCTTTTCTTAAACCATATTTTGTATTGTAAGTACGGAAAGACTTGACGCCTTGATAGATTATATCAAACAAAAACACCAAACACACAAACATTGATTGATTGATTCATTGACTTACAGATCATAGATTCATATATTCCAAGATTCATAGATTCTTAGATTCATAGATTCATAGATTCATAGATTCATAGATTCATAGATTCATAGATTCATAGATTCATAGATTCATAGATTCATAGATTCATAGATTCATAGATTCATAGATTCATAGATTCATAGATTCATAGATTCATAGATTCATAGATTCATAGATTCATAGATTCATAGATTCATAGATTCATAGATTCATAGATTCATAGATTCATAGATTCATAGATTCATAGATTCGTAGATTCATAGATTCATATATTCATAGATTCATAGATTCATAGAGTCATAGATTCATAGATTCATAGATTCATAGATTCATAGATTCATAGATTCATAGATTCATAGATTCATAGATTCATAGATTCATAGATTCATAGATTTATAGATTTATGGATTCATAGATTCATAGAATCATAGATTCTAAAATTTCCAGGTCCTTTAAACAACTATTTGGGACAAACTGGCAAACAAAACAAAGTTTTCATTAAAGGTAAAGTTAAAGTTTTACAAAAATGTATTTTGGAGGATAGTGTTATTAACGCTCGCGGGCTTCAGCCGCATTGGTTTACCAACAGCAGTAAAAACAACAATAATGTAAATTTCCATTTTTCGGGTTAACCGAATTAAAGTTGCCCGGATTGTGCAGAGATTCGCCGATAGTTCTCTTTTAAATTAAGTTGTCAGGGCGGCAATCACTTCCCGATTCTCGACAGCAGCAGTGGGGCGACAATGAAAACAGTTGGTGGGAATGAAATTATGTGGCACATGGGTCCGGGTTGTTGTTCCCACTGACATGCCCACGTCAGCGAAACTATAATTAAAAAAAATTAAAAGGATAAAGAGGAGGTTACACGGAATCCACTACAGACTTGTAGGTTGTATCCCGACATTATAGAATTTATCTCAGGTTCTAGGGAACTGATTTACTTTAAAAGCGATTACCAGAATTACCATTTTAACAGGCAAAGAGCCTCATTTTTACTGCTCAACGAATTTGTACAGATTACATTAACTTAAGCGATTTAAGCATTATCACACTTTAATGGAATTATTTCTTAACTGCTAAAGTTTTTAAAATTATTTGTAGTCACGTTTTGTTGAATCTTACATTTTCCCAATTGTTATGTTTTTAAATATTAGCTTTAGGCGGCTTTAACTGGTATCACACAGCCATTTAAAAAAGTTAAAAAATTTATCATGGACTAAAAATATTTGTTTAAGTTTTATATTTTAGTGAATAAGGAAAGTGGGATACAAGCTGATAGCCTTTCAACTTCAAGTAAATCTGCCTTCTCAACCATCTACTCGTTTATTTCTGAACTTATTTAACACCCATTGTTCATGAATCAAGGTACTTCCCCCTCCACCCCTTTTAATGCCAAATCGTTCCACCCCCAGAACTCAATCAAAAAGTTCAATTGTTCGAAATGGGGCTTCACTCATCAGCATTTTGCGTGTTCATTTGGGGGCCTTGTTTGGGAAAAGGCAGTGCAGTGCTGCCCAGCAAGTTACCCTAATAAAGCGACATTCGGCAGCCTGCCTCATAAATATGAAGAATAATGCAAAATGTTGTCTGCCTTTTGGCTCTTGGCCTGGCTTCCGTGACGTGTAAGCGGATTGCCAAACTTCCGAGCTGAGCTGCCAAACTGCAATTTTCCAAGCGAACAGGCCAGTTCGTCTCTCAGCCACCACAGGGCCAATTCCATTCCTTCGTGACGCAAACCGCCCATTAAATGCATATCAAGTCAAAGTCAGGGCGGAAATCCTTTTGCCAGTTTGATTTATCGAAGCCTGCTGCCAGGCGTTCAGTCTTTCGAGGCGCACAATTGGGCCATCACTTTGCTGCTCCCATGCAATTTGTCCAACTTGGCAGCACTGCCACAACAAGGGTTTAATGAGCTGTGCAAGTCAAAGCCTTGCTAAGTAGCAATTATGCATTTATTGCTGCCCCTAAATTTCGATTTTTGGGGATTTAAAATGAAAGTTCCTCGAAAAGATAAATAAACTTTGGGTAAACAACACTATGTAACCAGAGCCGCCATAGAACATTCATTTTGAAATGCAAAAAACACTGGACTTAAATTCTGAGGGTATAAAAGTAAGCAATTTTAGTAAAGCTGACTATTTTTGTAATGCATTAATGAATATAAATATTTATAAGACTTAAATTAAAAAGGATTAATTTACATACAAGTGAAAAAATAAAAGGTTAATAACTTCTGAGTACTAAAGATTGGGTAAACAAAGGGGCCTCTAGAAGGCATGCCCCAAATTAAACCCCTTACTTAAACACTTGTAGGGTGGAGTAGAAAAAAGGAGATGAGTATTAAAATATGCAAACAGCGCTTAGCATTCCCCTTTTTCTATGACCCAAAACAGCTATAAAAATGTTTCCTTGCTTGAAAAAAATAAGCCCGGGCAGCAGGACGTGCCCAAAACATTTGTGTTTATGTGGACAGGTAGCAGCAACATGCAAAATAGCCGCGCCACTCTCGAAAAAGAAGCCCAGACAAATTTTGTTAAGTACTCAACTTGTTATTGCCCTTCAAGTCTAAGGGTATGTACATCTTTTAGCAAGACTTAAGCGATTCATACTATGAACATCCAAAAATTGTTTTTCAACATTTTGAAAAGTGGTGTCGAAAAGTATACTATTAAAAAAGTCAAATTAACTTTGCAAAATATATCACTAAAAAACGTTGTAATCTAAATCAATTAAAAAGTCCTTAAAAGCTTTCCTGGAAAAGTAGAATGTCTTTCCGGGAATAGGTTAAGGTACCCAGTTAATGCCACAGATATCTCTAAGGTCTCATTTCGAACATATTCGAACTATTTACAACCAAGTGTTAAAGTATAGATCAATAGACCGAAGATGGCATAGTTTTGAAAGTGAGTTCCTCAAAAGGCATATGTAACCATGGTTTAAAAGAGCATGTTGCTAGTGACCTTAATATCTTACCGTGGAGATGCAGCAGTTTGCGGTATTTGCGGTATACTGCCCGAGGTGTTCTTCTAGCCGAGTACGTCCCTTTCCCTTTGAGACTCCCAGGAAACAAGTGAGTTGTTTGGTGCTGGGACTTTTGTCCAGGCGGCTCGGAAAGTGCAGGAGCAGTCAAGAGTCAGAGCAGCTTTTTTAGCATGGATGGCGTTTGCTTAAATATTGCCCAGGAAAAGACTAAGAGGCTTAACTTGAAATGCCAAAAGTTCACTATTTCCTTAGACAAGTTGGTGGGAGAGCAGTTCGGGCTTAGGTTTTGAAGAGGATAATTAGGGACATGTTTCCCATGCTCAAGAAAGCGGTTCGGTGCACAAATGTCCTTCAGCCCCGAGATCCACGATAGGCAGTATACTGCACTTGGGCGAACGGGGAAATCCTTTTTTTTGGAATGGGGCACAACCAGCTAGCGTGACAATGCCGGCAAAGATGTCAACACGGCCTGCGATAAAGTTCTCCATTTTACTGACGCTGCACATTCACCATAAGAAGCCCTGTTCTCCATACTCAGCCATATTGCCAAATGTAGCGGCGAACCGCTTTTTCTTAGCATGCAGGCAGCAAGTTTATTGAAATTTTATGCATTTCCTGCATTATATGAGGCCGCTTTTGTTGTTATGATTCCGCCAAAAAGTTTTATTTTCGATACATTCTGCAAGTTTTGCGCTTGACAGCTGCCTTGGCTTTGCCCTTTATTTCGCATGATTTCACATCTTTTTTGTAGCATGTTAGACAACATTTCAAAGGCTTTTTGGTGGCTTAACTGAAATGTGGTTTAATCGCTCCAGAGCTTAAGTACTAACAAATTACACTATCTAACTATTTTTTTAAATATTCAAAATTACAGAACTCCATAAATAACCATGATTGCTGAAGTTCCGAAAATTGCAAAGCAAGTTTAAAACTTTAAAAGAATTTTCGGAACTGCAAAACGGAAAAGATGCCCTGAAGTCCTAAAGAAAATCTTGAATACAAAGCTGAAACTCTGAAATAAAGTCCAGGAAGTCAATATTTTAATATTACTTGAGCAAAGCTCGGAAAGACAGCCCAGACTTCCGGCCTTTAAAAGCTTGCTAAAGCATAGTAAAGAATTTGTAGAAATCTCTGCTATAACATCTATACACACGAATAGTTTGCAATGCTCCGTTTTATTTTAGATACGTGTTAGCTGATATACATAATTGAAAGAGGCGTTATTTCTTTCGAACTTTGATTTCCATTTAAGGACCGAATTTCGAATTTAGGATGTCCAAGAAGCGGCGTCTCGTCAGGAAACAAACTTTTTGATTTTGAATATTAGGTCACAAGTTCTGGTAAGTGTTGTAAGGGGGCTCCCTGTTCCATGTCATTTAGTTAAAATTGTATAGTCAATGAGTAATTTGTTAGAATGCAGATATGTGTCCGAATTTGATTCAATTGTGTGGTAGTTTATGTAGAGTATTGGTTGAGTTCTCCATCTTTGTGATCTATTTCTTCTTTTTGTCCTTTTTGTCATCCTTTTTGGGACCACTTCCCGGGGGACACGAGGAGAGATATCCTCCACTCATCATACGGTCGAATGCATCCAAAGGATCGTACTTGGAGTAGAAGGTCCTATACTTCCTCTTGCGTGGATTGTTGTGAAGAGTGTAAAGTAGCAATGGGGCTATCAGGGCCAGAGTGCAAGCCATTTTCAAGTTGCCAATCGATTGCTTCAAGTGCAAATCATGCATGGGAAACTTGAACTCGGGGGGCTGTATTTATAAAAGGAAAATCTATATATATTCTATATTGTCATATTTTTCGATATTTTTCTTACCTTTTGTGCCGGCATTTTTGCTATTTTCTGCTCTGTGCTTGACGAGAAATGTCAATGAAACGTGGGAGAATACAATTCGTTCTTGACTACAAAAGATTAGCCTACTCGTTTTAGAAATGTGTAACAGCTCTCGATAAGCTTTAAATCTAAAATAATTCAAGATTATTTAAAATTGTATTCCATATTAATTCCAAACCATTAGATTTGGTCTTTTTTTATTAAAAGCAAGAAAATTGAAAAATTAAATTGGTTTAAAGTATATTTTGTCATTTCAAGCACAATGGAAAATATTTTTATTAGTAAAATAAATTTAATTCAAGAAATAAGTTTAAAAGAAAATTTGTTATGCAAAACTTTAGTTGAACATATGACTTTTTGGTAGTTGGCAGTGTCTAGTGTGGTCCATTATGTTGAGTTCCATTTATGTGCCAAGTTTCTTTAAACACATTTTTGTTTTATTTCCTTGTTTTTGCTTGATGCGCAGCCAAGTGCAAAAACTAAAAACCCCAAAGTTCCTGCTAATGCCAATCAGAGTTGGGTTCTGGCCACACAGAGTTTGCGATTGTGGTTATTTATTTCCTTTTGAGGTGGATATTATATATATTCAAGTTCGTGGTGACCATCAAATCAATTGGGGCAAAAATGTACTAGGTATGTCGCAAAAGTTACAGGACTTTTAAAAAATAAATGTTTTGCCAGGCAAAATCCTTTACTAATATTTACAATCAAGGTAACACATTGGTCGAAAAAATAATATTGAGTCAAGAGCTAACATTAAATAGTCAGTCAAACGAGTGAATCCCTTTATTTAATTTACGATTCAAAATTTTGATACACTTTTAGTTCTTGTTGATATTTTCCTTCCCAAAATCTCAGACTAAGAAATCGCTTCCCTTTTTTAATTTGCTCGATAAAAACATCGCCAATCTGCCGTTTAATTGGATACTAGAAATGCTTTCTTCTCAACCCAATGTTGGTGAAAACCTGCACAGGGGACTTGAAATTTGCATTTGGCAATTAAATTACTAGCTAACCGCTTGGAAAAACACCCTTCGAGTTCACTTCTTTCTGGTCAGTGGACCATTCAACTTTTGACCAGACGGAAAGATTTTAAAATCCCTTTGCATAGACAACGCGGTGCATTGAACCGCCTCACAAAGAGACAATTTCAATATGTTGGGTGCCTGAAGGCGTTGCCGACGATTATAAATATAAGACCGGGCCTCCAATCCTTCTGCAGCATTCCGCCGCCATAGCAATTCCGATGTGTTGACAAAAGACATTATGGGGGGCGTCTTCGATCTGTCGAGTGTCCATATATCTTTGGCAATGCTGAGTTCGCAATCTCATGTCGGGAAACTATAAAGTGTGCTTTGGGCTAAGTAGGTATAATGAAATTTGAGTACCATTTTGAACTTATAATGCCTCTTATCCAGTCGACTTAGCACCATTGGCTGTCCAAACATTTCGCGCTTTAAAAACTTTTTGCTTCACTGGAATTTATTTTGAACACCACCACAGCCAAAAAAGACTTTTTAAAATTGCCGCCATTAATAAAAAACTTTATTTAATTTTTGTAATTATTATCTGGCCAACTCATCTATTATTTAAATAATAACTAGCTGTTAAAATTCTCCAACCGCTATTTATCTCGTTTTAAATATATTAGCATTCTTTAGGATTTGTTTGCTGTTCTTGTTCTCTTTTAGCTAGTGAAATATATTGTTCTGTTTTAACTAGAGAAAAAGATTTATCTACAGGGGACCTGTGCACTTTTCTAACCTGTTATTGTAGACTGCGCCTCGCCCAAAAATAAACATTTCCATACGACTTGGCGTGCAAAAGAAGTATATTTTGCCTTTAATTAATGTAGTTTTTCCAACCGCATTCTTAGGACTTCTTGATTAATAAATATACGAGAATTGCATGCTCGGGACAACCTATAGCTCAGTGAACTTTGTAATCCATCCCGACACTCAGGATAGAAAGGCCAACGAACCTCAGTTCCATCAACTTTTGACGTGGTCATGTCATTATTATCTATTAGTTATGGCCCAAGTGAATGGAGGGCCACGCCCCTGTCCTCAACTTGGCAACCGGCGGTTTCCCTGCCTTTCCTTGCTAATTGTAAGTTATTGACACGAAACGTGCCATGGGGCAATGCCAATAACGATGACGAAAGGGGTTCTATGAACGCCCACCTGTGACCGAGAACGGTAATTATAATTTCCTCCGGCTATTGGGACTGAGTGCGTCTCTTGAATATGGTTTGTAAAAAATTAAAGTAATTGAATTATAAATGAAGGGGTGAGGGTAAATATTGGATTACCATTTCTTTGAAATGTATTTATGATTTTCTGGATTGGTAAACATATTACCTTCCTTTGACAGGTGTGCAAAACTAGGATGGATTTCACTTAACGGTCATGGAAATGGAACTCGTGATTTATTAAGTTATTGATAAACAAAACAAAATCCCTTTTACCCATTTACAAAATCTTTAAACATGTGGGCGTGATAAAGAGTCTTTTTTAAAGACTTTATTTAGGTTAGAGTTCTTTGGAAGCTTAGGAATTTGCATAGCAAATTGGAAACGTCTAGCTTGTATAGTTTCCAAGATCACAAAATTCACATGAAAAGATAAGACTTGATCGACTCCGCTAGTAATACTGATATGGTTCTATTCTTTTACTGTACCAACATATTAGTAAGAATTAAATTAAGGCATCGGTAGCCCAGCTAATTCTACCTTTAATTACGTTTAAGGGTGCCCCAAGAAAGCCTGATATTATGACCCGAAAATATCTTATGTAAAGCAAAACGAAATGCGAACAAAGAAACTATTTCAGGCCGTAGATGGCACACCCGCACCACACAGCTCGTGTTATCTATCTCGATGGGGGCTGAGGTCTCGTCCATGCTTTATGGGTCCTGGCCCGGCATCGCCGTTCGCCAAAGGGTTCATTAGTCTTTCCATACACAACATCAAAGCCAATGAACGTATAAAATGCAGGGAAGGTGGAAACTAGAAGCTACAGCTGGAATGAGAGCTATAGCTGGGCAACTGCAGTTGGGGCAAAAATGGCACAAGCGCAAACAGCAAAATTCCAAACAAAAGCCAAGGAGGCGACATGAAAGCAAACGTGACACACGACATTGGAACAAATTGCGTGGGCAATGTGGCGCAAAGTATGCAAAAAGCGAAGGCATGGGTCCAAAACACACAGGCTTTTAGATGGGTCAATACACCACCCAGTCGAGGAAACTTTGCCGACTAGACCTGGGAAAAGTTTCATCAGACTAGGGGGTGGGGAAGAACTGGCATCAAATCGATTGTATAATTGTCGACGCCTGTGGATATTTGAGTTTCCCCCCCGATACCATACCTCCCACTTTTTCATCGTCCTTCAAGGACATGTTTGATTTGCTCACGCACGCCGAGCGCAAAGTGCTGTCCGACTTTCTCGAGTCCTTTTTATTTTCATGTCGCCCTGGGCTGTCATTATTCATTAGAGGGCTCCACCGAGAGAGTGTGGCAAAACATTTGTTAACTTTCCAAAGTTTAGCATCGCTTTCGGGCAAACACTTGGTTTTTACCACAGTCTAGTTTTAATTAGTGGGTAGATGATCAGTAACCGCCCGTTTCCTGTTAAAAACTTGTTCACTTCGCTATCAGTCTAGCAATTAACTATTACTTAATTATATAAAATGGTTTATATAATTAGTATGATAGTTTTAAAGTGATAACCACACAGGGGGAAAGTGAAAACTAAAGTTGCTCTTTAGTATTGTGTTTCAGACTGTAAAAGAAGTATCTATAAATTAGTAAATACCAATGTGATGTACCTTATGACTACTTAAAAAGTTTTGTTTGTTTTGTATTACAGTGACTTAAGTATTTTAAGTAAGGCTATATTTGTAACGAATATATTGAACTGGTCATTTAATAAGGTAATTTTATGTTAAAGTTACAAACACTAAAAGGTATACAATATTATTATCAAAGTAATAGGTTCAAATATAATAAAAATAAAAAAGAGATTTACTTAAGTGTGTCTTTTTCCATAACTTAAATAGACTTTGTTTCGCAAATGAATCTTATTTTGCCTAATTTCTTGTTTAAATTAATTTATTTTCACAATTATTTATCTTCTTAACGAACGAGTACCTCAACTACTTAAAGTTGAGTATACTCATCGACTTGAATCATTTTAGAACGCCTCAGCACAAATGCAAATAGGTGATGTTTTTTGACCAGTCCTTACACAAAGTCTCTTCCCGGATGTAGTTAAATTGGGAAATTAATTGCCTTTGATGAGCTACTGTTCAATCTGTTTGCCCTCTCCAGCGGACTTTGCCAACCGCATTGGCAATTTATGTTTGCGGACTGCTGAGGGAAAATCAATTAATTTCCATGGAATTGTGAGTGGATATGGGGGAAGTATTTGCGGGACTCTTCACTGAGCTGGAGACAATTGATTAAAATTGCTATTCCATACGTCATGCTGTGACTCAAATTAAATCTTGCATTCAAAGTCGTTGGTAACTTTTAATCTCCTTCTTGGCCACTCCATTTTGAGGGATTCTCCAGCAAGCTGTAAGCCCAATGTACACATACTTAATTTATTTGCGAACAGCTTGCCGGCCACAATTCAATGCCTTGAATTCCCAAGTACCCAAGCTCATGTCTTCCGACTTATGACTACTTTTCCACTTGAACTTGGCGATGGTTTCGGTTTGCCGATGACGGAAATGCAAATAGAAGGTTGAAAGGGAGATTTCACGAGTCACAGACGACATGCTAATAATCGAATTGCATTGGAATTTTCCTGTCTTTCGGTGAGTGTGCAAATCCTTCCTTATCCTTTGGTTAGTTTTGCGGCTTAAACCCTTGCAAATGCTGACATATTCCAGGGAATCCTAACTTTAAACATTTGAACTTGCCATAAAAAGGCGAGTGACATCGCAGGGAATTCGCAATAAGATATGCCTCTGACGATTGATTTTTGTTTGAAAACTTTAATACACGAAAAGCTTGTGAAACAGACAGCATTCACTCTCACACTTTGCATCCGCACACATGTTGCAAGTTTTCCCGCATTGTAAAATTTTAATACCATTCGTGTATTGAACAGGTAGCACGTACAATCTGCTCTTCCGGCGTATCCGCCAAAAAGGCCAGCCAGGCCAAAAAACTTCCAAGTGGAACTTTTCAAATCGAAAAAATTGACATATCAATATCAGGAAAACTTAATATTTCCGTGTTTTGATAGAAGTATTTTATTTTGTTAAATAGTTTAGTAACTGTTTCTATATAGTTCAACTTTCTTTACCCCTAAAATTCGTTGTCTTTTAAAGTCTTTGTTAAGGACTTTGACAGTATCTGTAAGATACTAATTATATGAAATTTCAAATACATTTTATTTTATTATTTAAGGTTTAATCAAATAGGGTATTATACCTTCAGTTAGAAGGTTGAAATGGTTTTGATCAGGATAAACAGTAAAGTTGATCTAAAAATGTTCATCTGTCCTTTTTTGCGTCATGTTCTTTCCCCAAAATATTTCCTCGAATTCTTATATTTAGATCTTAGATATTCCTAGTATGGTGGCAAGGACTGTAGCTTAGTTTTATTTATTCTGTGAATTCTTTAAAGGCAGTTAACATTGCAAATCCCTTCTCAAAAAATTATTAAAAAATGCAAGCCGCACGAGCACTTAGATGTCGGAACATTCGCTGTAGACCAGGCCACTTCCGCTTCAATAAAGTTTGATATTATAGCCATGGGGCCAGCGCACCACATCTCCCATTATTGTACAGAGAAAAAAATTAATCTAAAATTAGGAAAATGGTCGTTGATCAAGATGAAACCAAAATCAAAATTGACCATCGCTTTGTGACAAATGCTTGAAGTCCAAGTCAGAGGTATTTAATTGTGAAAGAAGTATTCAAATTGCAACTGGATTCTATTTGGCTTGCCTTTGTGATTTTGCCATTTGCAATTGTTGGTTCAGATTCAAAATGTAGTGTCGAACATTGTATGCTTGTAATTCAAGATCCTCAGCCACCCACATATGAATTGCGGTGCAAAAAGCTTGAATAAATTGGCTTACTAAAAGCATTCGCTCCGTGAAATTCGAATTTATAATTAGCATCACCTTGACTTTCTATTGCAGCAACTCCACCGCAACTGCAGCACTGCGGCGAGTGTAAATTAAGTGAAATATGATATCAAAATATATTTTTGGGGAATATGGTCTTCCCAATTCAGGGCGCCTGCGTGGAGAGAAAGCCCAGAGAAAGGCAGCCATAAACAGCCGGCAAAATGCGCGCCAATGTCGAGACAACAGAAAAACTGCAATGGCAACTACATGCGACGACAACAACTTTGCCACTAGTTCAAGTTCAATGCAACAACAACAGCCAGCAGCACGTGACGCAAATGTGGGAAAGCCTGCCACAACAATAAAGACTGCTAACAGGGCTGTTAACTTGGCCAAAAGGAGCTGACTGCCCCGACTGACAACAGCGAACTGCCGACGATTTTTGGATTCGAACGATACGATTCTGAAGAACGAACCGAACCGTCAGAATGTCGCGGCATCTCAAACGAATCGGACGCGAAATGAATCCAACGGATATTCGGATCCACTGCTTCGAGTGATTTTCGGATAATATTTCATTCGCTTTCGTACTCAAGAATCGGAATAACCGCACGCGATTGTGTGAGTTCGCCTGCCGAATGCTCCGGATCGACCGGAACGTAATTTCTGAAATATTTACATTATTGCCAGTGGAAGTTCATAAATTCTGGAACCCTGAATCGATATTTCGGAAGCTAAGCATTCATTTTTTTAACTGTTGAAATTTAATAAAAATTGCTCGTAGTGCAGAAAAAAAAACGATCATTAAGTGAAGCTTAAAACTTAAAAAAAAACATATGTTATGCTTTTCAAATGTAAAGAAAAAATCTTGTGCTGGATTATATTTGCTTGAAAAAAAAATGTTACCTCCGTGCAATTAATACAAACAATTTCGATAAAGTTCAAAGGAAAGGCTACATTTTATATAATTCAACTTTAGAATTGATTTAAGAGAAGATTTTTTAAACTACAAGTTTAGTCTTGGAAATTTTTGAAACTAATGGTTTGGTGGTTTGTGGAAAAAATCTTTCAAATTTAATTTAATAAATCAAATTGTCATAAATCATTGGAATAACTTGCTTAATACATTGCAAAAAAAGTTTTACTAACATCTTAAACAATTTATTTAAATATAACTACTTAATCAAAAACAAGAATTGGAACTTTGTAGGCTTTTGTTTTTATGCCCATTTTCTCAGACGAAATCTTACATTGCAAATAATAAGCTTCGCGGTTTGCTATTTTAAATTATTTTGGAAATTATTTCCATTGAATATATTTGTTATATTTATAGAAGTGAACCAAATTCGTTGAGCTAATCGGAGATCCAAAATAATTTTAAGCACTAAAAGATTGTGAAAACGAAGGTCATCTTTACAACATGGTGGATTCGCAATAAGTAAATAGCTATTCGCGCTACAATCAGTGTGCAACGCCAAATTGACCAAGCATAAAGAGCAAAAACAATAATTTGAAAAGCTCTTTGAATTTCGTTTCTAAAATTGTGTAAATGGAAGACAAGGAAATGAATGGTAAAATCGAATAAAAGTCCCAAGCAACATGTAAAGTTTGAATTGGGCAGTGTTTGGAATTCTAATTTGTGATTTAATCATGTGAAAAAATTGTGAAAACTTGCTTAGAATAAAGGCAAAAAAGGAGACAACTTTGTTAGAAACAACAATAAAAAACTCATCTTCAGAGACTTCGTAAAAAGGAAGGAAAATTCGCTTTCAAAGGTAAGTAAGATGTGAGCTTGAAAATATTTAATTAAATCTTGGAATTCCTTAAAACTCAATCGTATCTAAGTATTTAACCTAATAAAGATTTCGAGATAATCATGCAAAATTAAACCACTCGCACGTGAAAGACAAAAAACTTAAAACCTGAAGGAGCAGATACAAATAATGACAGCCTGTCAGGCAGGTGTTCCTTAGTCCATTTGATTCGGATTGCGAGTCTTTTTTTTGTTTTTTGGTTTATTTGTGAGTTTGATTTGCGTGTGCGTGTCTCGATTAACAAATGGTGGATTTGTATTTGCTCAGTTCCGTGTGCTTATTTTTGCCATCAGCACCAGAAAACAGCCCGCAATCAGATAGACAGCGGTTCATTAAGATACCTTTTGAAAAATGTGTTGACACGTGCTCTGTGAACACACATTCATATACATATGTGGGTACGGTGTTCCTTCAGGAAAATTAATTATGTCCGGAATGTGTTTTCGTGAATGAGGATAATTGAATTGAACCTATTTTAGGCCTTGAATAAAAAAGGATAATCATTAATATTTTCGTTTTATTTGTCTAACAAATCGATTGGTTTGAGGACCATGGAATATATAAGTACTTCCTCAACGCAGCCCCAAAAAAGAAAAATAAAATGGATTTTAGGTGAAAGGGTTCATTTAGATAGAGTATTACTTCCAATACTATGAATCGTATTTTTTTTGCTTATAACATTGCTATTTATTGCAGTTTTCAGCACTGTTTATTAATTACGACCGACATGTTTGCAAGCACAGCTGTTAATTCTCAACATAAAGGAATACCGTTGGGGAAATAAATCAAATAAATAAATAATATACTAGAACACACTCTGCTTTTCGGTTATCGGATCTAATAAAATATTATTTCCTTTATGGTAACTAATTAAGTCTACGAAAGGTTGAAAAAATAAGGTTATATTCGATCTGAAATTATTTTTACCCTTTGAGTCTGAGTCATTTCCGGTAATATCCTGAAAGTCCTGGCTGTGCATACATACCGGCATACGGCTCAAAACCCCTGCTCTTAATAGATAAAACACCATCATCTGATTTAGACATCATCGGAATCGCCTACAACCACCCACAGATGGGCAAACTAAATGAAACGCAAATGACAAACATTGTCAACTCGACTATGAAGGTGTGATTTTGCTCCTTTTGCTCTGCGGGTGCTTTCCCCCGGCACTTTCTGCTGCCGACAGGCACTTAAAATACCCACAGCAGCATGAAATGAATTCTGATCTGTGGCGTCTTTGTAAGGGCATCAAGGCATTCATTAAAATGCTTGATTAATTAATTAAATTATTCCGGATAGATTTACCAGAGAATAATCTGTACATTTGTTGCTAGGTTCCTATACATAAAACGTAAAGTTAAATTACTAAAATATTTGGATAATTATGGCAACCTATTTTTAAGCACAATTTCAAAACAGTTGGCTATTTTTCTAATAATTTAATTTCACCTTGCTAACACAAAGCACTTCAAAATGCAATTACTTTGCGATTTACCGTAGCAACTGGAAAACGCTAACCCATATAATTTAATTTCATGGTAGAAGGAATTGTTAATGTTAATTACTTTAACACCGCTTGTGTTTTATTACTTGCTAAGCTAAAAATGGGTAACGCAATTACAAAGGGGAAGATTAAAGCGTGTTAAAGGTTTAAAAATAAGTGGATGAGAAAATGTGTTACAGAACAACGTTTTCTAAGCAAGGCCATTCAAATGCTAAAACTTCTTACAATACCATATGAAATATTCATAGGATATATAATGTATAATATTATTGTATTTTTTCCAGTGCTTTTAGCTAAGCGATTTCTCACTGCATGGACTGTCGTTAACATGATTTGTTTTGATTTTAGAAAACATCTGCTTGTTATGGCACAATTTTATGGCGCAATATATTGTAATAATAAGATGAAGATTTAGCAGTCAAGGTAAAGGTAATCTGACAATTTATGCCTCGATGCTTACGACTTTCATTCACATATATGTATATAATATATATATATCCTTTACGTCTGCCGGCGGAAATACGCAATAAAGTTAGGAGCTTCTACCCCTTTTTTCGCGAGAAAAGCTAACTCGTTTCATAGCATATTTTTTGGCACTCGCTGTGAAATATGGAAGGCAATAAAAACAGATTCCTGCATTTTGTTGAATTGCAGGTGATATTGTTTATTTAAGTCGTAAACTAAACTTTCTGGGAAGTTCGCTCACATATAACCATGTCACGAAATTTGCATGTGAAGTCAGCAGAGCGCTTCTCTCATATTTTGATTTTCGCTTGGAGGAATTTCCCGCACCGCATCTTTTCCAGAATCCTGCCCTAAAGTCCCTTTGCCAAACATATGGCTATCAAACTTTAAATATTATATGAAATATTTACGGTTTAAGGACCTACCATTTATCATATCTACTGGTCTGGGGTCAATTGCTCCTTCGTCTGTCCTGTTTACATAATGACCCAAATAAACATGTTGGTTGTTTTTAAGCGCCCTACTGTGTGGCATGTTTTTAGAGTCCCATGCCCCGAGCTCCGCTTTCTGCCTAGCGCATATTAATGGGCGATTTGTCTGTGGCCCAGAGATATATGGGCTTTACCTAAAGAGCTTGTATAAAGAGGAATACCAATGCATAAGTACCAGCTCTGAAGTGGGTGGATCCAGTAAAGTGTGCTGTCTTTAATTGGGTCCAAGGTCAGATGTGTACTATTTAAATTGAACCATATCAGTTATTCATTATTTTGCATTGGTCAAATAATGGCATTTTCCTTTTTTAGACTACTATGCTTAGTTATTTATTAGTTAATCAAAAAGTTTGGGAACTGCTGAAGATTGCCTCTCTTATTAATGTTCCAACGTATATTCCACTGCCATTTTAAGTTAGCATCAAAAGTTTGTGGCTGTCAGTTTAACCTTTGGACTTGTCTAAATGACCTTAACGCGGATACATTACTATTTATAACTCAGAATCGATTGGCAAAGAATAAGTGATGAACGTAATTAGTAATTTAACATGGAGTAAAAGGGTTTACTGTAGTTGTTTAAATGTATGTAACAGGTAGATCTAGATCATCCAATTCGAACTATACGATCTATATGGCCATGTCAGTTTTACATGGTAAATTGTATTGACTGAAGAATTCGCGTTTTAGAACTGCACAAATTGCGCTGTATTTTTAAAGTAATTTATATTTGTTTTGAAAATGACTGGCGCATTAAAGGGTACTAGTTCTATTTATTATTTACACAACAATCAGCGGGGAATCGACTATACTGTAGTCGTTGAAATCTATGATACAGGTCGATCCAATTCAAACTATACGATCCATATTTCCATGTCAGTTTGTCATGGTAAATCCACTTGACTGAAGAATTCGCGTTTTAGAACTGCACAAATTGCGCTGTATTCTTAAAGCTTTAGAATTGAAAAAATTGCGCTGTAGTTTTAAAGTAAATTATATTTGTTTTGAAAATGATTGGCGCAGTTAAGGGTGCTAGTTCTATTTATTATTTACACAACAATCAGCGGAAAATCGGCTGCGGTTTTAATTCAGGGTCAGGTTGTTCGAACTGACCTTTGGCGGGAAATGGAGAAAATGAGCAATTTGACGACACTTTGTACAGGGCTTGGACCTTCAACTTGTCCAGAAGACACCAGCAAACCACCAGCCACGTCACTGTCCCTCAAGTTGGTCCCCGTCGTCTGATGGCAACGTCACGCAATCCTGTGGCTTCCACAATGTAATTTGCGCAATGCATTCATTAAGCATTTTGCTCCTTCTTGACTTTTTGCGCAATTTTAAACTCATTTGCATGGAAAGCTGACTCCTTCCCGGCAACTGAGGATAATTAGGTTCTCAACTCTTAATGCAGGCAGTCGGTGGCGAATTTTGTTTTGTTCATACAGCACGACACAAATTTATGCTAACGAAGTGAAACAACAACACAGACAAGCGGCGAAACCGCAATCCCATTTGGCGAAGGAAAAAAACAAAACTTCGGCACACAAAGCTATGGTTACTACTTACCTTATAAAAGGGGTCAGATCAGGGTGAAAAAAAAAATTGGGCATAACTTCCTGTTGCCACCAACAATAAAGATGAGCAGCCATTTTTTGTTGCCGTTGGATGGGTGGGTGAGTTGTTGTGGGTCGGTTTTCCAAATAAGCTGGGCTATAAACCACAACAAACGTCAAAACAATTTCCGCCATCACAACTTGACGACGCCGTGACGCAGTTAGAACACTCTAAAAACTCTGGAATGGGGGCGGATGGAAATAGGTGAACCGGAAAAGTGGTACGAAAGTTGTGTTTTTCGGGGAGCCCAAAGGTGAGGAAAGAGATTCAAAACTTTGATCGCGATGCTAAACTTCTGTAGCCATAAATACCCGATTATTAGGTCCTATAAAAACGTCTGTTTATGATTTTTTGAAAGGGCTCTGAAGTATCTATCCTACATAATAGATTATTAAAAATTTGTAGAATTTATTAAAAATGTTACAGAATTTATTTAAGACCTGAATTTATAAAAAAGGACTATGCATTATAAAGACCCAACAAATGAATATAAAGTTTATCATTTTATGAAACAGCCACTTTGAGTTTTATTTTCTCTTCCGCTTGTTAAAATAAAATTAGGGCTTAAATTGTAAATTTTAATTAGATTTTTAGGTATAAAACCTACTTCAACAATATTTAAAGAGTGTAAAATGAAACAAATATATGACGGCATATTCTAGGCAGCTAATTTATTTGTTATGGTTTCTAATACCTTAATCTTTTAATGGACCGATTTGTTTTAGTTAGTTGCCTGTATTTATGAGTCTAAAACTGATGTTTTTTTTCTGATTTCAAAACAAGGCAACGTCCCACAGTTTCGCTGCAATAAATCGATTAATACCACTCACAATTTATCTATTATTCCGCTCTCCATTTGAGTGCTTCTATTTCATTTGGCAACCCAA